TTTTTTTCTCTCCCCCCCCCCCCCCCCCCCCCCCGGCTATAACTCTCTTCTCCTATGTTTAGCGGGAGACCTCTTTATATGCTTACTCCCAGGTCACAAAGGTCACAAAAATATAAAGAAAAACCAAAAGATGTCCCCAGGGTTATATCATTGCATTAAATGCAACATGATGATGTTCAAAAGCTTTCCAAGTTACATAGGCATTGCAATAGAGCAACTACAACCAACTTAAAAGATTTTGAAATACTTTGTAATTTGCTATGCCACAGGATGGAGTCCCAATGTTTTTAAGCTTTCTTGCTATTGATATCACTGCTAAAGTTGTTTTGTTTTTTTTTAATCAAGCAAGGATGAATCAGGAGAATGAATGATGAAACTTAACTGGTGGCAGTTGACCCCATTATACAGAGAAAAAAACTCTGAGCTTTCTTATCTGTATGGAAGATCAGAGGACAGAGACCTAATTTTAAATTGGCTTAGTTTGAATTTAATTAATCTTATATAGCCTGAATATATGTTGTTCATATGAGGCACAGGAAATAAAGGGATAGTCACAGGAAACATACCAGTAAATGAGAACATCAGCAGACTTTAACATGCATACAATTCCAAATACCTTTAAAGTACTAAAAAAACTGATAGGCCAGATGAGACACTCCTGGGGTGCTGCAAAATGGCCCAAACTATAAACATGACCATAGATGAAACAGGAACAACTTCGAAGCACTTCACTGGGATGCACTTCATGTTGGTTTGTACCCAAAACACAGTAGGGAGCTGGCATCCCACAGCTCTCTTCTGCACTATCACACGTGCCCCCTCTGAGACTCGCTCCTAACTCTACTGCCCTATGTCACTGTCTATGCCCCATGTAACCTTACCTTTTTGAAGGTAGGCATAATGGCATGCCCGGGGGTCGATACTTGCATTTGCGTTGTCCCCCACACTCCCTCGTCCACAGTCAGCACCCAGGAGGAATGGCCCCCCACTGTCCCCGCCCCCAATCGGTATGCCACTGCTACCAACTCAGGGACTTGACTTCGAGTGCAGTTCACTCTCATGCACTCGCTTGCCTGTCACACCACACCACATTACCTGCACTCAAAATTTCTGCATCTGGAAAATGCTCCACCACCTGGAGGTAAGCAGAGGGCACAGATCTCCATGTAGGGTTTGCAGAGCACCCAGGATTCCCTTAGGAAGAGCACTGAAACCAGGCTATATATGAGCAGATCATGGCAGAGATGGCTGACCAAAGAGCCTATGATGCCAAACAACTTTCTACTGCCTGCCAGGTGACATGTTCTCACTATGAGGTGCTGTTGCACATACTGGCTGGAGATGACTTCACAGAGTCATTTGTTGCTACTCTGGGGTGGACGCAGAACCATTCAGTGAAAGCAGTGAAGCCAAACAGAAGGACTGTGATGACCCTGTAGCTTAAGCTGTGACCCATGCATAACTCCAGGAGGATACTGGGGAATCCCTCCTCTGCTTTAGGTTCCCTGAGAAGATGACTTATAAGCACTCAGAACAAGACAGCTCAGAGGCCACCAACCTCGGAAAGAACCAGCCAGCCATCCAAGCCAGCACCCCACTACGCCATCTTATCATCATCCTATGTGCTTTTTCTGTCACTTTCTCTCCCAGCAACCCTGCCCATCATTCTCCCAGTGCCCAGGGCCCTGCCACTTGGAGGCAACACCTTGGACTGATGGACACCAACCATACTTTTGCATAAACAGGCAGCTAAACTAGGGCATCACTTGCATCCCCCTTGAAAAAGCTGGAGGCACTGCAAGCCACGTTTTGTGTAAGCTGAGGCATGGCTACATCCATGTGTGTCAACTGGTAAGTCCTTTGTGACTGATAGGGAACAGCTTTGGGAATGGGGGCTCTCATACTAGGTCTCAAAGAAAGTGGTGGTAGTCATGGCCAGTCAGTGGGGCACACAAAGCCCTTGGGGTGCTACCACCTCTGGTACCATTAGGACTGGAGTGCTAAAAAAGCTTTCCAAGCCCTGTCATGCGTGTGTAACTTTGCCTTTGACATAATCTTCATTTTAACATAAAGGAGCTTCATTATACAAACAACCCCAGACATGCACAACATCAGACACACCTGCATACATAATATCATGATTGGATGCAACATTAAATCTAGGACACCACGGGCGAATGTTTCCCACATACAATGCTTTCCCGTCTCCTGAATCTTATGGAGAATTTGAACTATTTTCTCTCCACTGTGGAATACTTCCACCATAGTTTCTTTAGCCTTCCTAACCTTAATAATAAGTAACTGTTATAACTTTGGTTGAACTAATAATTGCTTGGTTAGTTCCAGATTTATTCCTATGGGTACATGTGTAATGTTATTAAATGTTTCAAATTTCATATTAATTTCTATCAACAAATCCTTAGGAATGACAAAATCAAAATCACAACCTTTAACATAGAAAACATTGCAAACACAAAGTGTCCTATTATGATATTCTATCAAATAATACAAACAGTCATTTATAATTACGTAGGAATAAACTGTTGCAACAGATAAACACTTGTAACCAATATCTTTGATAACACGTGTTATGGTAGGTAAAAGGCACTATAGAAAAATCATATCTACTATATTCATTATTAAGACACAAGTCTGCGAGGTCTAGGAGGGGGTAGGGAATTATTTCAGCTGGAGGGCCACTAACTGAGTTTAACAAGCTGTTAAGGGCTGCAAAGGTAGTCCTGCCTCTTGACAGGTGCCCTGCCCCCTCGTCACCATCTTGGTGTCGTAAGTCATTCTCCCTAACCCCTGACCTTTGCCACCAGAAGTCTCTTTCCTTGCCCCCAGAACTACTCCTTTCAGCGAAGGGGCTTGCCATCTTGGAACCAGAAAAATACCAAATTATATTCTAAAAATCAAATATCTACTACAACATTCATTAATTTGATTTAAAAAAATATTTTTGTCCTGATTTACATGCGTTTGTGAAGTGTACATACAAGTGATTGTATAATAGCTTAAAATGAAGTCTTACTCTTGTATATTGTGGGGGAGGTAGGGGGGGGTATAGGTTTGTGGGGAGCTGTGGGTGTGTGGGTATGTGGGGTGTGGAGGAGGGTGTGGGTGTGTGGGTTTGTGGGGGTGGATAGGTGGGGGTGTGCATGTGTGATGAGGGAGCATGTGGGTGTGTGTGTGGATATGTGGGAGCTATGGGGTTTGTGGGGGAAATATGTGTGGGGGAGGGTGGCTGGAGTGTGTGAGAGGGTGTGTGTGGGTTGTGCGTATGGCAGTGTGAGTGTGGGTGTGGGTATGGTAGGGTGTGGGGAGAAGCAGCGGTGGCAAGCAGGAAAGTGGGGAAATAGCAGTGGCAGGTGTGGGGTAAGCAGTAGCAACCAGGCACGTGGGAGCACAATGACAGCTATGCAGGAGTGCAGGGCCCACACCAGTGTGCCAGGGCCAGTGCCATCAGGGGCCCAGGGCAGGGCAGCAGGAGCACGGTGCCCAGGCTGGCAGGGGTTGTATGGAGTGGGGCTGTGCCAACAGGGAGATGGGGGAGCCAGCCTGGCTCCATAGAGGTCCTGCCAGTCTGGGCCTCACACTCCCACACAGCTGTCACTGTACACTTGTGTACCCACTTGCTGCCACTTGCCCCCCCACCAGCCACTCCAGCACCACATGGAAGTGGGTAACAGCCCTAGGGTCCAGGCTGGGGGCTGGGGTGAGGTGGGCAGGCCTTGCAGCTGCTGTGTCCTACCGCCAGCTCCCCCCGGGTTCTACTGCTGCTGGTGCCTTGTCATCTTTGACAGGCAGCTGGGGCAGATAAATTAATTTTCTAAATTTTTATCTGGCCTGTGGGGTCCCTAAAATGGCCTGGTGGGCCAAATCTGACCCATGGAACATATTTTGCTCCCTGGCCCCCTGGTCTAGGGCACGATTGGGACATTTGAGACCTAACTGAAGTTTGAAAGCGCAACCACTGGAATTGACTGCCTTCCACTGATTATTTATTTTCATTCCCTACCTTCTGGTCAATGCCAGATATACTAATGTATTATTCACCCATAGCCAACTGGGACAATAGGGAATATTTTGTCTAGTCTGTTTGGTATAATAGTTACAATATCAGCAATGATCATATTATATACAGGATTGTAATCAAAGTAAGTTAGCATTCACCAATTTCTTAAATTTCTTTCTACAGGAGAGGACATATTCCATATAATTTTCTTAAATTCAGAAGCAATTTGATGATTATAACTTTGCTGAATGATTTCACTCAGAATAAGATAGGTCCAGATATACAGCTTAAAGTAAACCCACTGTTTATTTGCTTCTGTTTGAGGGTGTTGAAAACGATCATAATGTCTTGTTCTATTATTTTCTCCCACTGCAGAAGTAAGTCTGATATCAACCACAACTGTAATGCTAATACAATTAATGAGCCACTAATCTGTTAGTCAAGTTCACACACCTGACTGGTAATTGCTCATATTTTATTTTGGATTACCTCCGTATCTATTTATTATTGCACCTATTCCAGTGGCAACACCTCATAAAACACCTGAGCAGTCTCTTCTCCTTCTAAAGTGTTGTGCTTCTAAGAATTTTCTGCTGCCAGTTTCCAACCTGATTTTAAAGGTACAATATATAAAGTGCAATTACCATTAATGCTTGAAATATCCATTTTATCAAGTGCAATAATCAATTTTCAACTAATACTTCTTGGCTCAATAACTATGGGATAGGACTTATCGTGTTTAATGCAAATAGGTCCTGATAGGTAAATATGTGGGACAGAGATCACATTTAACAAAAATATCTCTCTAAGACCCAACATTCCAATAGCCTTTCAACAACCCTGAGTTCAATCTGATTTTGATGATGGCTGATCCCATACTCCCAAGTGATGTTCTCCTCATCTTGATTGTAGTGTCCATATGTCTGATTAATCCATGTCTTATTTGTAGAAGCTATAGCTGGATTTGTGCAGTTAAAGTGCAAAGGAGCTGTAATTGCATCAGGGCCCATACACTGCATAGTGTAGCTATTATTATCTGTAGTGAAAGATAAGTACAAGACAGATCCATATTGCACAAAGATATTAATTTCATCACCTACAAAGACGTGTACAGCTACACGCCAATTAAAGTGCTGATAACAAGGACCTGCAAGTGATGGCATAATACCCGGAAATTTAAAAATAGACACTTTTTTTGTGCAAAGGTGTGTACCTCGTCTCAGCAAACAATGATGCCATAGGCTGTGGGGGTAAGATTGAAAGTGCAAATACTGTGTCCAGTGCAATCCTGCGGAAACATAACTGTTTAGTTCTTACCATTGCTTGGCATTCATAATTGCATGTGCAAATTCTCAAGATCTGGTATCTGGGTTACTTTGCACTCCACAATGAGGTTAGTATTCGTAGAGATGTTCACATAAGGTACACCATAATTGTCCATGTTTAAATCCTTGGTTAAGATAGTACTTCAAGGACTTACAGCCCAAACAACAAAACCCAATAGATGCAAGACACCTTTCAAATGCTGTTGTACCAAAACGACCTCAGAATCAGGTAAGTTTCCCTTTTGTTGGATCATAGATGGAATCAATACCCAACACCATCTCCCAATATTCTTAGTGACACCATTTTGATCAGCATCAGCACAAACACTCCTTGTAGTACAGTGATTCTTATAGTGCACCATATTGGATCTGTCCCTGAAAGGAAACAGAATATTCTCAACAATGATTACCAATCAAACAATTCCACACTGATTTATATCTTGTTTATCACCTTGCAACAGTTTCAGTTGTGACAACTAAAACCACTTTAATTTTCACTTTTTATTTGCTTTCACTTGCACTTGATAGACGGTTGGACTGATGTTGTTCACTGCTCATACTGGTCTCAGCCATACTGGTGACAATGCATGTTTTCTTTCAAAAGTGGCTCAATTTAGGATGTGATCTCCTACTTCCTATTCAATTAGTTTGGACAGGTGATGACAGTGCTGCTGCTGCTCATCCATATGACACTGATTCCCAGAGACTTTGTGTTCTGTAAACTGATTTTCTTGATTGCACATACTATTTTTAAATTGAATTATCAGATATTACACATGATTGTAAGTCATTAGGCAGGTCACCTTCTGACCACTGCTGTTTAGGCATTCTCATTTGTCATCTAGTCATGGTGTCATGACATGAGGGGTTAGATCATGAGACGCCACTGTGCCTCTTAGTGTCATTAAAATCAGTGGGAGTTTAATGCCCTAGTCTTTTCCTTGGGGGTTCTCAACTTTCCTCAAGGTTGTCTTTAGGGTTCTGTTGGTACATTCTACAATTCCAGAAGACTTGGAATATCCTTCAGTACAAAATCATTGATGTATATTAAATGCATGGCAAATTTCCTAGGTGACAGCTGCTGTACAGTGTGGTCCCTGGTCTGAATCAATAATCTTAGGTTTTCCCCACCTTGAGAAGGTATGATCAACCAACACTTTAGCGGTTGTATATGCCATATTATTTTTGGTGGGAACTACCCTTGACCAACTTTGTAAAATGGTCATTTACAACTAAGCAGTACTGGTTTCCACATGCAGTTCTGGGTAATAGTTCTATAAAGTCCATCTGTATTTGAGTCCAGGATCCCTCTATTCTCTGATGCTTTAAAGGGCCTTTAATAATCCTATTATTGGGATTACTTAAAACACATGGGAGACAATTCTGTACAGAATTTTCAGTGTCTCAACTCATCGAAGGCTACCAGCCTGCTGCCTCCACACAGGCTATGGTTCTATCAATGTCTGGGTGTCCCTCTTCATGGGCCAAAGCAATCAACTCAGTTCTCACAAGGCCTGGGACTAGCCATACAGGAGGCGCATCTTCTCCTTTTTGGTGAGAACTAGGCCAGATGGTTCTTGCCATATACACCATGGACCATCATTTCCTTTTCCCATTAATTCGGCAACCCTCAAATCTTGATTCTGCAAGCCAATTAAATCCACAGAATCAAGAGCTCATGGTGTAGTCTTTGACATAGATGGATGACCACCATTTGTATACAGGAACACTGACGCAAAGTATTCATTAAAGAGTTCAACTTTCTCCTGACTTTTATCAGCTGTCCCATCCCATTCTGCAAGGGTCCCACATTTCCCTTGGTCTCCTTCCTGTCTCTTGTGCTGTTGCCAAGCTCACAGCACCTGGGCTTGGAGAAGCATGGGGCTCCTGGATGACTGCGATGAGGAGATGCCGGTGCCCCTGTCTTCTCTGCAAGGGACCTTTTGGGGGAGGCACCCCTGGGCCAGTCCCCCCCCCTCACTCCTTCCCCACAGTGCACTAGTGCTAAGCCCTGAGTGTGCCCCTGCTGTATCCCGACCACAGCGCAAGGAACTGTTTGAGAAGACTGAGGGGTGCCTGACCCACTACACCCTGCTGGTGCTGATGTCCATGGTGGCCTGAGTGCACCTGGCAAGGGACCCTGAGCTTCAACGGTGCGGCGGGCAAACCCACCTTGCCCCACAACCTCTGCCACAGCTTGAAGGGCTACTTGTGGCTGTGCTACACATCCCTGCTCCCCACAGCTGAAGAGGGAATTGCTGCTGGTATTGACACATTCCTCGGCATGTAAGAGGCCCATGCTCTCAATAAAGTGTTGCACTGTCTTCCACCTCCCCATGTGCTGTGTGGGGTGGGGGTGGGGGAGGGGAGGGACCTGGGCCCAAGGGGGCATGGCTGGGTGAGGTATGGAGGGAGTGCAGGGGCAGAGGCCAGGGCCTTTGATTTCATACAGTCCTGCATCAAAGTAATCACACATCTACTACTGTGTAGAGGTTAGCGACATCAGTGGGAGTCACATCTCTAAGCCTGCTTGTCATTGTCTCTCTCAAGGGGCCCTATCCTCTTACCAACTGCACGAAGCTGTTGTAAATGGGGTGGTCATCTGAACCGTCTCCACTCCTCTGGTACCTGGCCTGGTAACCTCCTTCGTTCCAAAGGGCACCATAAGGGCAGATGGTAGCTCTCTAGGACTGCCCTCTGGAGACAAAGTCTTAACTGGCTTCAAAGGTAACAAAGGCTCTTGAGCCTCATTATTTTTATCACAGTGGACAGATGAGCTACCACTTGATCCACTCTCAATATCTGAACTCACTTCACTTGTGTCTCCAGCACCATGTCCCTTTTCATATATGGCAACCATCCCCCTAGCTACAGAAAGCTTAATTTCCAAATCCTTCATCACTTTTCTGCAAGCACGATGGGTGGCTTCAGGCATATTAACCATCTCACTCTTGAGTACCCAAAAAGCAACCTGCAAATCTAGGGCTTTATTATACCACTTATCTTTTTTCTCTCTCAGTACAATGGATCTCCTTCTCAAACTGTCAGATTCTTCCTTCCAATTCAACTATATGGCTAGCATCTTTCCATGAATTCGCTTGCAAAGCACTAATCTGGTTCTTCAAACATTTGATTTCTAGGTCTTGACTCCTAGCAACCTCTTTCACAGACTTCTCCAGATACACTATTTGAATCTTTAATGCATCATTATACTCAACCTCTCTCTTCGTTGCCCTAGACAATTCCCTGTTGCAGACAATTAAGCCTGCCCTCTTTAACTGTTTGTGAGCCTGCTTACCACGGTCTTTTCAAGTTACCCACTACTTGGCAAGGTGCCCGTAGGCACTTTCACTATTCCAAAGGCTAGCCATGTCCCAAACTATAACTCGGCAAGAGTACAGTGCCAAAAGTTCTTTCACAAAATCTCACATTCTAACCAGTCCTCAAATCCCTTAACAACAGCATTCCTGCTTGTAGTGCCTTCCTCCATGTTAGACTGCATCTTAATATAATTGTAACAGTTCCCCACCCGGCTTACCTGTCAGCAGCACAGATGCGTGGAGCCCATGTGGCCATGCCAGCACCACGCTGGCCGGAAGTGTGCTCCCTATTGGCCCAGAGCCCCAGGACCAAAAACACATGGCAGATGGGAGCAGGGGGGAACAGCAGCAGATGGACTAGGGATGGACCCAGCTGTTCACAGCCCAAGCAGAACCCAGAATACTCCCCCTGCTGCAGAACAACCAGAACGGGGTGCAGACTGGGCATTTGGCAGGCGATAGCCAGCCAGCTGCATTCCCAGTGGCAGCTATGGAGCTAGCTACACCCCACTTGGGGCAGACAAGAGAGATGCTGGGATCCCCATGTCCACCAGACTTGATGGGGAGACACTAGACACAGGCCCTGCCACAGGAAGCACTGAGCCATGTCCAAGTATTGGCACAGCAGGAACACAGCCCTCACAGGGTTTCACCTGTGGGAGGGCACTAACTCATCTGTTCCAGCTACAGGTACCCAGGAACCACCCACATGGGGTAACTGGGGAAAGGCTCTCCAAAACCATGCTGACACTGCACAGTCCCACCAGAGAAACCTGTGGGCAAGTAGTTGCCTGCCAGTGACTGGGCAGGAACACAGGCCCCGTGGAAACATAGTCTCCCCAAGGTGGAGCAATGCATGGTCTAGCACCCACATTAAGAATGTCTGCTTGAAGAGGGGCACCTTCCTGGAGGCTGAAGAGACCAGATAAAAAGAGTGAGGGGACGTAGAGTCCAAAGCAACTCACAACCCAAGAAAAGAGAAGAGGCTTAGGGCAGCAGACATTGGCACCCTGCCTGGTCGCCAGTCCAAGCCATTTTGAGTTCATCTTATCAGTTTTGGTTAACCTTATTTCTGAGCCTTACATGAGCTGGAAAAGAGAGAGAGGATCCTGAAAGGATACCAGCCTTAGCCTAACACCATGGGACACGTCATGTGACAAACACCTCTGAAGTCCCAACAATGGCAACATCACCCAAGTCAAAAGGGGTGGGGTGTAGGGAAGAAGGAGCCCCATGGAAGACATGCCACTACCGTCACATCCAGCTCAAAAGAAACCACTGGAGCATCTGCAGGTGAGTACAGGGTCATCACTTGAACATCAAGTCATGGCAAGAGAGAGGGTGAAGGTGTAACATAGCTAGGTGCAGGGCATGCTGTGATGCTGCAGCAGTATCGCCAGGTGAGGCCAGTCACAATAACACAACACTAGTCACAACATCCAACTAAAGCTCCAAAATTACCACCATCAATCTGAAAATCTTGAATACTAAACCCAACTGTGTCCCACTAACCAATTCCAAACAACACTAACAACTAACTAATCAACCTCCGATTTAAACACCACAACTCTGGTTACTATGTTAGTTGATTAAAACTGTTAGTACAGAACTCACAAACAGACTGACAGACTGTTAGGATTTTTAGTAAAATTAACCCTTTATTGCCCACTCAGGGATGTCAAACTGTAGCAGGGACAAATAAATTTAGGGAGGGAACCTACTGGGGCTGTAAGCAATAAAAGTAGGTTAGTGTCAGGCTCACTCTCACTGTGGGCATCCTGCACACTGAGAGATGGATGTGCCAGCCTTGCGTTTTACTCAGGAAGTTATTAATACACACATGGAACCAGAATCAAAAATTAAAAAAATAGACAGATTTATTGAAAAGACAATAGGGAATATTAACAGAAGGGATAACAACAATAATGATTTAACAGATATAAACACAAAGAACACACAGATACAATCCATACTTTACCAATACTGAAGCAGTAAACAGCAAGTTAAGTCAAAATCAACTTGATAACAGTCTGAACCGAAGTCGAGAGGAAGCCA